CTCCTCTGTGCACTTTATGGACCAGTGGCTATGTGTTGCAAGAGTCTGGTGAAGTGGTTTCAGAAAAGTAGTAACTGTGGAGAACTTCCCTTCTCTGAAAAAGTCTCGGTTCAGTCTTACCCTGTGTTGGCCCAGTAGCTGGTGGGATATTCGGTAGGGAGGTAAGAGGCTTGTCCAACGATCTCCCTGTGCTCTGAGCAGTAAGGTCTTAATGGATGTGTCCAAAGGGTGAACTGCTAATCACTGTCTGGAAGAGAAAACGCGTGAAAACGCCCAGGTGCAGTCTCTAGAAGCCGCGTGGAAAAGCACAGGCTCCTTGCACTCACGTGCTGAATTACCCCTCGTCTGCTTGCATGCGTTAAATGTTAAAACCAGTAATTTCAGAATTATTGGACTGAACTTCAAAGATCTGCCATGACAGTGTTTTACTTTAAAGCAAAAACACCACTGACAACAGCAGGGTGTAAGGTTGTGACCCGTGACCAGGACTGTCCTAGTGCCTCTCGTTGTGGAACCAACGCAGCGTGGTCTGGCAGCTCGAGTCGTAACCTGCTGGACTTCTTGCCAAGAGCTTTGCTTACATTTGGGGTTGCTTCACCCGAGGTAGGTGGGATCCTTCTTGAGGGAAAATGGGGGTGCAGGGCCCCCCACACTGTTACATTCTTGGAAGAAGCCTCGTGCTTCCCTCTTGTCGCCCTTCAGCGCAGCTGAGTGGTTGAGCAGAAGAGTCAAAGAGTGCCCAAACAGGGTGGAGTGATGCATACCTGTGGAGCTGAAAGGCCTTTAATTATCAGGAAGCTTAATTGAATAGATGCTTGCATTGCAGCACGAGTCAGGGCAGAAGACAGCTGATAACTTGGCACAATGTTTGATTTCATTCTCTGCTGCTTGGTGCTAATGGTGTGAATTTGCATAACCATTATTGATAATATATAGTTTTATGGAGGGGAAAAATAGAAATGGAAAAATCATGGGTATGTTGCAATGAATCTTGACAGCACCTTGAGATAATTTCTGCAGCCATCTCTTGTCAGATGGTGATTATTATGTTCCCTAAAGTCCTCGAAGTTATTCAGGAAGCAGAGGAAGGTAATATTTGTGAGAGATTTGAACTAGCAAGGTGGCCGCTTTTCCTTCTAACATTCAGATGCTTACTGATCTCTGAAGTGTCACTCTTGATGTCTCCTTTTTTTTCCCTGAATTTAATGTTTGAGGTTTTTTTGTTACAGATAAAGCAAAACAAAAAATCTCTCCCACTAGTTCTCTTTCTTGATCTGTAACAATTTGGTTGTTAAACTGCTGCCTTTAGTAATGCTGTCTGTGCAGTCTGTGACCAAACACCTGATAATAAGTCGTTTCCCTTCCTAGTTATTTTCACTCAAGTTTCACCATCAGAGGGTTTGCTTGTCCCTGAGCAAGGCCCCATCACCTCAGCGGGAGCAGGCTCTGAGCTCTCCTGTGGTTTCCTTGAAAAGCAACTCTTAATTTCAGAGCCAGAACTGAGACGGGTCAGCTTAACCACCGAAACTCAAGCTTAACTTTGATTCATAATTCTTGAGCCCCGTGTTGACAGTCCAAGCACAGCACCACGTTGGCCAGCGGGGCTGTAGACACTCCTGGTTCTGATACTCTAATGGCCAGAGACCACTGCTTCTTGCTGAGCCTCAGCAATGTTGCTGGAATGCTGCTGTAAAGCGTGGTCACATACTCGGGATGCACCAACATGGTATAACCTCTACCTGTAACTTTCCTGGCAGCGTGGGGCAACTCCTAATGCTCTGTTCCCTTTTTTCTTAAGATGCCTCAGTGATACTTGCATTTTAAGGTCCGATAAGGAGTATCTGTGGAGCAGAGATGCAAGGTGTGAGTTGCCAGAGTACAAACATGAAGTAGGCTCATCCCCCTGGGCCCATTTCTGATACTTTGTGAGGGGTGCAGATGGTTTCAGCCACCCAAGGTTGGTAGGAGGGAGTGTCAGTATTTTTCAAATGTTTCTGTTAGTAAAAGCAAACAAAACCATGGTTTTCCTTATTTTAAAAACAAACAGCCTTGTGGTTTATCAGGATTCCAGGCTCCACAAACAGCATTTAGCATCACCAGGGCTTGCAATTTCAGCAGTTGCTTGGGCACCTGTGAGCAAAGGTTTCTCACCTGCCTGGTAGAGCAGCCTGCCGTAAGCTCCAGGGTTGAAAAGAAATGCAAATATTTGTGTTGGAAGAGAAAAGATGAAGCAGCAGATCCCCTCCTGACAATCTTTTTGTACAAAAACAAGTGAGAGAGCTCCCCTTCCCCAGAATGCCTCTGATTGCGGGGAGCAATCCTTGTTAACCCCAGTCGTGCCCTGCAGCAAGGTGCACCCTGATTTCTCGGTGGCGGGCTGCACTCTGATTTCTCAACTGCCTTTCACTTGTGTGCCAGACGCTTCCCCTGCACTGCGCGCAGATTCCTCTCCCCTCACCGCTCTCCCTGTGCATTACCAGCACTCTTCTCGCTGGGCAGGAGGGTGTTTTCAGTTACACTTTAAAGCTTTGTATTTAGTACAAAAATACCGTGTTCTGGCAGATACAGTTCTTGTGACGCAAGATTCCACAGTGGGATGTGATGTTTGGTGGTGGCAGGTCCTGGTGGGCTGTTGAGAGCTGGCAGAGGCACTGCCTGTTAAGATGGCCTTTCTGTTTCAGATAAGTTCATTTCAGAACTCATTTCATTCAGCCTTTCATTTCAGATAATGTTCAGATAAGCTGAGTATTCCACTAAGCAGTCCCTTTGATGTACGTGCTGTCCGTATGTGCCTCGTTATTCTGTGCAGTTGTTAACAAAGTGGTTAGTGGAAGAGGAAGTAACAAGGGGTATCCACAAGACTTCTTTCAAAACAGCAACTTTCATTTTTTTGCTTACACTTTCACCTTATTAGTAAGCATTCTGATTGCACACACACATGTGCTAGGATGAAAATGGCTAATGGGTCCGTATCGTGTCTCATCTTGTCCCACCCCAGCCGTACACCTCCCATCTCCCATTTACAAGTTCTTCCTTCTGGGCTCTGACTCTCAGGATCTGTAACAGGAATATTTTGAGCTTGTTCGGAGAGGAGATGTTCCGCTGATGTACTCTTACACGTTTTGAGTAACTTATCAGATCAGTTACAGGAGGTGCTCCCAGGCTTTAATGCAGTCCTTGGCTTTTGTTCAGCAGCTAAGATGCTGAAGGATTAGTGAGAAGCTGCTGTTGGACAAAGCAGGACTCAAACACTCTTGCCTCAATCTTCTTGAGGCGTCAGAGCTGTACGAAAGTTCAGATGAGGAACGGAAGATCTGTGTTGAAACCAAGGGCATTATGTTTGGGAGAAGAACAAGTAGCTGAGTTTGCCAGCGGTTACAGTCACAACAGAAAAGGTGATGATGGACTAAAAGGATTCCTTTGGAGGAGGCTGGTGATGCATATTATGAAGAACAGCACTAAAAGCTACATCAAAGTGAACAGCTGACTTCAGCGGGGTTTGTGGAAGTGTCTCTGTTACGCAAAGGGTGAACACACGCTTCTGCAGACACGGTAAAAGTGGTTTGGTAGAAACACGCATCAAAAGCAGTGTCATTAAAAGCTGTTTGCTGTGAGCAGTGCAGGTGAGGTCAGTCCGAAGTGTCCTATTTTGGGGCAAGAACAGCAGCATCCATTTAGTGGGTTTGGTAGGTTGTTATTTTTAATGTTGCCTTTCTGGAATTGCAACCACTCTGCTTTCTTTTTCCACTCAAACAAATTAGAAGCCTCTAGATGCACTGATGTAATGTTCTTAAAATCTATTACTGTGGGTCTGGGAGCCACTCTGGTGTGAAGATGAGTCAGTTCAAGGCCTCTGTGTGTGTGTGTGCACTCTTTTTTTCAGGATCTGAACTTGACTTCCTAGTGACTTACTTGACATACAATTTTGAATTGTAGCTAGGAATTGAGCACAACATTCATATATGAAAAAACCTCCTGTACGCTGATTATTTATGGCTGCGAGGGAAAGTTGTGAATGTAACTTTTGTTCAGAACTTTCAGCAGGAACCTGGGTTAGGGCTCCAGCAGCCAAATCTGTTGATTTCAGCTGGAAACAAACTGGGGAGGAAACAGCAGTTTCTGCACCTTAAGGTCAAGTGTAGCAAAACCACTGCTGGCAGTTTCTTGTTTATTCTGGCAGTGTGTGTAAATAATAATTATTAGATGAAGCAGAGAGCCTTTCCTCTCTTTTGACACTCATTACAAATGAGAACTGTACTGCCTTATTACAGCCTTCCCTTCTGCAGAAACACTGGCTGCTCTTTGTAGGTTTGAATTCTTAGTTCATGATGCTAATTGCTGTCCCCAGACTTCTCCCCAGGAGTGTGTGACCTTAGCGACCTGTTGCAGAATTAGCTGTGGGTCCCAGAGCATCCTTGCTTTGCTCCATATCTCCATGACTATAGGACTGGGTGCTCAGAATTAAGCATGATAGAGATGTCCTGTACTGCAAAAGTATAAATTCAATCGTGGAGGCTGCTGCCCTTGAAGGGCTCATTTGGGCTGTGATGTTAGGTGTTAGAAACTGTCTGTTTAAAGAAGTTTTTTAGAGCATCATAATCAGTTGGCACTTAAATTGTAGAATCATAGAGTGTCTCAAGTTGGAAGGGACCCGTGAAGATCACTGAGTCTAACTCCCTGGTGTAGCTATCAGTTTAACAGTATCAAGGAAGCAAGGCTAGAATCCTTCCTTCTGTTGGTTATTCTTCCGAACCAGGAGCTTGGATGTGGAGGTAGAAACCTACCACAGTCAGTATCATTACGGCACAATTCAAGCCTCATTTTTTTTTAATAAAATACGTTCTGTGTGCTGGCCTCTAGCAGCACTGTTACTTAAGCTATTAAGAAGATAATAAATGATGGTACAGTTTGTACGTGGAGAATCTTAAGCGCAAATACAGCGATTCATGTCATAGGCTTATTTCTGTCTTCTCATCTTCAATATTTATTATTTTCTGCAGTGTTTACCTGGGAGCTTGGAGGATCCGAAAACTGTGACACATCATAAGTTGATACATGCTACTTCTGAGAAGGTGCTGACAGACACAAAAACAGTGTTGGAGGAAAACATTCAAGACAGAGGTAGGATTGTCTGTTTTATAATCTTATCAGTCTGGAAACGTGAGATTGTGTTTTGCTGTTTGGAGGGTTCCAAACAGTAACCCTTTTAATGTCTACTTCCCTTTGACATAGCAAGGTAATAAGGTGGCAAAAAAAAAAAAAAAGAGGAAAAAATATTTTTTTTTCCCCAGAGAAAACACCTTGAGCAGTTTGCTTTTCTTCACTCTTCCTTTTAAGAGTTGAAAAGGAATTAGGAATGTTCATGAAGTTGATAAGTTAAACAGTTTATTTTTACCTCCTTTTAACGTAATTTTTAAAAACCTCCAGGGCAGCATTTATCTTTCGAAATTATTAAAAAATAGTTGTCAGGGCTGAATATTCCAAGGCAGACAACCCAATGATTTTGGGGGGTTCATTGAGGTCTCCATGTCAAGCAGAAGGATGTTTGCTGAAGTGTGTCGGAGTGTCTGAGTTTAGATCTCATTCTGTCCTCTGCAAACGGAGGTCAGAATCCATCACACCATAGTATCGCTGACTACAGTAGCTATGTGGGGTATGTATTTGCTCCTGAACTTTAGAGGTGTAAAGGATTAGTGTGAAACAAAAGAAGATCTAAAGCTGAGGGCTGTTGGGATAGCTGGAGTCAGGTTTTGCTAGACAGCTTAAGCTAATGGCCCCTTCTGGAGATAAAGAGCGGTGGTGCAGAAAGCAAGAGAAGCAGGACTGCTGCAGACTGAAATATTGTCTGAACCAGAAACTCAGCAGGAGTGCAGTCCCAAGTTCGTGTAGGCTGGAGAACTGCTGCCATGAACACGAGCAGTCCGGTGTCTCGGTTCCAAGGCAGTGTCACCTATCACCTTTAGAGCCGAACAGGAGCTGGAAGTGCTATCTTAGGCAAAGGCAAGGGACAACATTTTTGCTGATGGGTGGTGTATTATTTCTAGGCAAGGCGCTGGCTCCTACAGAGTTTTGAGTTGCAGTTTGCAGCAGCGAAGCAGCATTAACTGTGTAGTCCTAGTAAGCTGTCACACAAATGCCTCTTTGCTCCTTTTCCCTCTTCAGCATGCTGCACCTTTCCTGTGCCCTGCTTGTCAGGGAGACCAGAGCACAGCCAACAGCTGATTGCCACCAGCTGACTGCGCAGGGCAGCCAAGAGTCAGCACATGGATCCTTTTGTGTGCTGGTCAGCTGGACAAATGAGGGTTAACAGCCTTCACCAGCTGTTGCTCTTGGCTGGTATGTGCTGAGACAGACTGAGGAAGCTTATTGTGCAAAGCACGCTTTGTTTGCTTTTTACCTGCCTAATGCAATGGACTCCAAACCGCGTGTCAGGCCATAGCGGCTGAAGAACTGCAGATGCTGCACTGACCCGTTTGGGGCTCTAAGTGGTGTGTCTGCATCCTTCTGCCCTTAGAACGTATGTGGTAGTAACTGAGGTGCTAGAAACTTGTAAAGTATCCTGTGATCTCCAGAAAAGGGGTGTCTTGTAAGGGGAAGTATTAGTCTTAAAAGCCCAAAGCAAGCTCGTGCCAGGTCACGCGAGATATGAGACTTGTTTGCCCTCGGGACCTGCCCTGGTGGGGTACCAGTGGTGCACCCCTGCTGTAGATCGTGAATCACTCTACTGCTGTTCATACACCAAGATGAGCTTCAGCCTGTTACTGGAAGCTCCTGTTGAAGCTTGGTGCTTGCCTTGCTGCAGGTGGAGGGCCCGAACTTAGACCTAAGACCATCCGTGGCCTGTCTCTACTGCTTCCTTCTCAGTGGAAGCACTGGAAGTGCTGATGCTTTATTCTTATCATGAGCCAATTGCTGCACTATTAATTTACAAGACAACTGGAGCATGTAATACCCTTTCTTTAATGGTGTTGTGTGAGGAGAAGAAACCAGTAACAGTTACAAAGCGTAACTGATAATGGGCCATGGTTTGAATTCACTGTGCATTAAGGAATTGCAAACACTGAAGGAGTGTGTGTAAAGCCATACAGGTTTTAAAGTGTGAAAAAGGTCTGATGCTCTAGCAGAAGTAATACAAAATTCATCTTCAGGAAAAATTTAGTTTCTGTAGGATCCTACAAGAACTGTTTTCAGATTACTTCCTAATTTATTTCAATATCATTCTCTTTCTAGATGTCCTGCTTTTGATAAAGAAGCGTGCGCCACCTCCACTCCCCAAAATGGCAGACGTGTCAGCAGAGGAGAAAGTGAGTTTGCACATCTTCTCAACTTGGCTGTTTTGATTAACTGCTTTATTAGTGAACTGCAGAAGGATTCCTGTGGTGTACTCCTCTTGTAGAGGCAAATCCTGCCAGTTAAATCCTAGGGAAATTATTTCATATTTCTTCCAAACTTTGAGGAAGCTGATTTTACGTTTATAACTTTGATTGTGAGAACATTTGCCTTAGAATTAGACATGCAGATACACTCTGTGCAAGTGGTATAGATTTGATCTTTGAATAAATGTCTAATAACTGTATAAGTTGTCGCTTGCTTTGTCTCTGTTTGAAAACCCAGTAGAAATACGTTGACTTGCTGTCAGGCTCTCTTCTGTCTTTATCTGTGTGTGGCTTGTCACCCTCTAACCAGGTCTCAAGAGCTGAAGTGTTGTCCCCCTCCTATTATTTTTTTTAAATTATATTTTATTGGAATGTAATTGTTACTGAGGGTTGCCCAGGATGGTGCTCATGCATGAGTGGTACAGCTGTTGATGTTATCGCATAAACGCTTTGAGCAGTGCTTGTGCTTGACCTTGTGAATTCCTGGGTCTCTCTACTTCGTCCTTGCCCAGCTTTGTTTCTTCTTGCTCCCTGTAGGTATTGGTGTATGTCTCTGTATCCCTTCCTGTAGGTATTGGCATGTGTCTCGCTCTTCACTATGGTCTTGCTGTGCAGAATGTCACTGTAAGAGCATCAGTTATAAGAATGGGAAATATTTATAGTTCGTACCCTGCTACGTTTTGTCCTGGACTGTAAGCATGTACTGAGAATCCAAGGCACCGTACATCTCTGCATGATACGTGCAAGCGGCAAAGTACATCCAGTGTTAAGCACTTAAGTGTCAGTGTGTGCGCAGTGCTGGTACATCTCTTGATGAAGAGAGTGTGCTGTGAGCAGACCGTGTGGAGCAGAATATGGCCCTGGGCACTGAGGTCTCTGTTCTCTCCGTGTTTGATACGTCACTTTCCCTCTGTGATGGAATTTCCCTGCGTGTTTAGAGAACAGAAATAGGTGTAAGGACTGAAAGTGGGGCAACCCAGCAGGTCCAGATTTGCTCTATAATTGCAAAATGAGACCGGTGCTGTTAATCCATGGTATTGCTAGACTGCTGTTTCTCTTAGTTGCAAGTTACAGAGCACTGCTTGATGCCTTGGTGAAGAATATGAAACTGCTCTCCGCTATGCTGTGTTCTCTGTTCTGTGGATAATGGCTTATGAAACCTGATGATGTTTCCTATCCTTCAGAGGAAACAAGAGCAGAAAGCTCCTGATAAGGATGCAATTCTCAAAGCAACTGCAAATCTGCCCTCTCGCAATGCAGATCGCACTGTGGCCCATCACAACATGAGGGATGTAAGTATTAGACTTGACCTTCACTCGCACACTAGCATCCAAGTATCTTGTATAACCTTTTCTCTTTATTTGAATGGGATTCTCTTCTCTCTATAAGATAAATTCAAGTGTATATAGTATATATTTAAGTAGATAGCTTAAGATTTAGACACAGGTGATAATAAAACACTCCATTCTAACTTAATGATTTTAAATGTTTTATTTGCCCATGGAAAAAGGCTCAGTAAATGTATTCAAGATCCAGTAAATGTGAAATTAAGGGGTTTTATTTCTTCTGTTTTAAATAGTTTAGTGTTAGCAGTGTTTTTTTTTTTCTTCCGTGGTTTTGAAAAGATAAATTAGGCATAAATTTTGACTTCAGTAATCGAATACTTGCAGAGTCTAGAATGCTTCTAACTGTGTCTTCAGCAGTGTGAGGACTACCTTCACCTCCCTACCTGGCAGGGATATGAAGCAGCGAATCTGCCTACGTACTGCATGCTGTCAGTGTGCCCTAGTAACCTAAAGGGGACAATTGCCATTTAAGCTGTTTAATGACCTACTGAGCATGGCATACTTAAAAACAAATGTCCAACTGAAAGGAATTTGTTATGCTTTAGTTTAGAAAGTAGCTTTGATCTGTGTTGTTCAAGTTTAGATTGCTAGAAAGCAAACAGACAGGGAGGCTCTCTGGTTCACAGAAGCAAGTAGCGCTGGTACAGAGCTGCTGGACTGTCATCTTTCAACACTTCTGCAAGGTGGGAGTCAGTGTTTCTGTGAAGCAGTGAGTTTTCTTGGACACTGCACCTCTTGTGGGGGTACTGGACAGCAAGCTGTGGTTGAAATAAAAGGACGTTTCTGCCCAGTAGCTTTTACTTTTGTGTAGCCCTTCACAGGAAAGGCCCAGTGCTTCTTGAGAGACTAAACAATGAAAATAAAGCCCTAATTCTGTACAGGGGGACAGACTGCTACTGAGATACTAACAATAGATTTATTGAGATTTAATGATGTCTGGTAACTTCCTGTCTAAATGTTTTGACAGTTTCCTTTCTTGCAGTTCCAGACAGAGCTCCGGAAGATCTTAGTGTCTCTCATAGAAGTTGCACAGAAGTTGCTAGCACTGAACCCAGATGCAGTTGAACTGTTTAAGAAGGCAAACGGTATGAACATGTCTCTGTAGTGCCTAGTTCAGTCCCGGGAACTTGTTTGCTTCCATAGCAGAAGAGTGGGCTTGCAGAGTGAAGTCCAGACCCTAATGTAATAGTAAATACAAACTTTGTGGTGAAGATTTCACCTTGTGGTTATAGGTTATATAAAACTTCTGAATTTTTAAGGTCTCTGGGGGATGGATGAGAAGTTCCATTTGAAAAAAAAATCATTAGTAGTGAAAAAATTGGAAAACTTCGAGTTGCACTTTAGGGATGGTAAAGAATAGTTGGAAAAGCACAAGGAGATAGTAAAATGAGATGAAAGCGTAGCTGATGATCCAGTTTGTGGGAAATAGTTGCCCAGATCTGGCTTACTTTTTAGATCAATGACAAATAGATCTTCAGTGGATCTCTTACATATTTACTTACACAGAAATAGCATGTGAGAATTAGCTGTCTTTTATTTGAGATCTTGAACACATCTGGACAAAGTCTGTCCTGGAAAAATCTATCTGAGCCAGACCAAGCTGAGTGCAGCAAATTAAGTGATGAGATGGCAAATTCAGGGCAGAAACAAAAGAAGGGATGGAAGAGGAGAATGGGGTTTGAACTTAACACATGCCTTTCCATTGATACATGGTTTTATTTTAGCTTGAAGTCAATCTGAACGTTGTTTTGTTTGTGTATGTGTAGCCATGCTGGATGAGGATGAGGAAGACAGAGTGGATGAGATAGCTCTGCGGCAGCTTACAGAAATGGGGTTTCCAGAAAGCAGAGCTGTCAAAGCCCTTCGATTAAATCAGTAAGTGTACTCAGCACACTGCCTGTAAATTACTTGATATGGTTAAAAATAAAATGTGCATTTTTTTCCTAAAGTCTCCTTATGTGGGTCAGCTAAAACTAGGTTGGAAAAAGCATTGACTCAAAGAACAGGGCTGCCTCAGGGAGTGCGCAGGTGCACATGGCGCAGGGAAGGGGAAACAGAGCTGTACTTGCTCTGGAAAGAACAGCAGAGCAGCTGGTCTGCCAGGCTGGTACTGTTTCCAAGTATTAAACTCACATTTTCTTCCACTTTAGAATTCAGATTTTATAGAAAAAAGAAAAAATCAAACGTAGCCCACCCACATTGTTCTTTTAGTTGTTGAAGAATACCTTGTGCTGATCTTTTAAAAACATTCCAAGATTATTGTGAAGTCCAGATAGCAACTGTAGGAAAATAGGAGGTCATGTAGTTCTTCTCATGGCCTAAGAAGAATCAACTGTACTGCCTCACTCCTCAGAGGGGTTTGTTAGGCCATTCTCAAAAATTTCTAATGGTAGAGAATCCACAACATGTGCCAGTCACTCTTTTCCAATATCAGTCCCTTGCGGGTCAGAAAGACTTTCTCACACTGGATGGCAAGTGATTGTTACGATCAGGATGTTCTGTGCCCTGGGGCTGGCCTCTCCTGTGAGGGGTCACAGATTTCTCAAGTCAGGGTGGAGGAAGAACAGGGTGGTACATGTCCAGGTGCAATTGCCTGCATTGAATTTTGCTCCCGCAGAAGGCATATTGTGCACGTACAAAGCTTTTCAGCCTCTTTCTTTCTTGTGGTGTTAATGGCATTCCTTGATCGCTGGGCAGGTGTCAGAGAGAGATCTCCTTAAGCAACAGAGCAGCTTGCATCTGAGATGTGGTTCCATGTAGATGTGGAACACGCTTTGTTTGCAGTTTTGTCAACAGTTGCAAATAGTCAGTGTTTCTCTGTTGTGAAGTAAAGCGGGTGATGTGGAGAATAAGGTGACTCCCTCAGAAATGCCTTTTAAAATCTGGGTTGCAGTGTCCAAGTTGGGCTTCATGCTGCTGTCTTCCTGGCTTCAGAGAAGATTGTGGTACCTTGAATCCACAGAGAGTTAAGATGCTTTGAGGTTTGCTCCAAAATTTCATTTATGGCTTTTCAGATACTAATTAACCTGCAAGTCAGTCTACCACTGGAGTAAACACAAAGGCAAATATATGTGGAACACTCCTGTACATCTGGAGCGTTTCTCATCCCTGTGTTGATTTGCTTTTCAGTATGTCAGTGACACAGGCCATGGAGTGGTTGATAGAACACGCTGATGACCCCACGGTGGATGCTCCGCTTCCAGGCCAGACTCCATCAGAAGCCACGGCTGAGGCTGGTGCATCCTCTGCTGAAGTGACTGCGGGTCCCAGTTCAGAAGAGGGTGGGGAAGAGGCCAAGGATGAGCTGACAGAAATATTCAAGAAGATCCGGAGGAAAAGAGAGTTTCGTCCAGACCCACGAGTAGGTGCTGTGTATCTCCCTATAGAACTGTTAGGATTGGAAGGGACGCTGTGTGCACCATGGAATCGAAGTAAATGTTTAGTTAATAAATGAAACGGGACATCTGGGTAGATGTATATTATGCTGCCTTGACAGTATTTTAGTGGAAGTCTTTAGGGACTATTTAAATTCAGGTTGCTGAAAGGGATATTACCTAATTAATGCATTGCAGTCTCAGATAGCAGTATCTGAATTACTGACACTGTTATTTCTGCACCTGAAAATTAACTAATGGGACTGAAGTGAGCTGCCAGACTCCTGGTATTGCTTTTATGACTGCTGTCTAGGGAGGAAGGGTTGTAGGACAGGAGTAGGTCCTTTTACTGTAGAAAAGGACAGAAGAGCTTTACTGTATTTAGGGGGCAAGGACAAGTATCACCAGCAGATTTAAGTCTTGCAGCAAATGCAGAAGTTAGCCTTGTTTTTTCAGAACACAGTATTAGCTGCAGTGAAAATGTGTTGTTATCGCGCTGTAAACTCACCAGGAGGTGCTCTGTGGAATCTAGCACTCTCTTCTTGCAAGCTGCAAATGTATTTGATGACTGGGTACAATTTCTAAATGATTAAACATTCTATAACAATGTCTAGGTAAGCTTGTCTAAATACATAACACTACCAATATTATAAATCCTGGAAGTGAAATTAAATTGAGCGAACAGAACTACAAATGCATGTGAAGCTTGATCTGTCAGTGAGATGTGAATAAAAGCTTTGTGACCCGAGAGAAGTTCTAAAATAAGGTGTTCCTGTCCTGCTCTTCTCCTTTCTGCCCCAGGTACACTTGCTCTTTGCTTTGCATTTGGCTTTCAGAGATGAGGATAGGAACTACCTTCACTCTTAAGATTTATTCTTCTTCCATAATAAAGATACTTTTGATATAGGGTATTTGAAAACTTAGCAGATAAGATTACTTAGTGGGTCTGCAAATGGAAACTGGGGGTTTTACCCCACATAAAGCTCTTGCGCTGACAGTGAAAGGATGGGATTGTTCTTATTTCTGCTTTAAATGTTACATTTATTAAGCTGTGCAAATCTGATACAGGCAGTCATTGCCCTGATGGAGATGGGGTTTGATGAAAAAGAAGTGGTAGATGCACTCAGAGTAAACAACAACCAGCAAAATGCGGCCGTGAGTACAATGTCATTTCTGTTCCTTGTTGCTGTACTAGTCTGTTCAGCTGATTCTTTTCACTGTTTAATTGGTTGATGTTTTGATCTATCATAAAGTCCAACTGTTACTGGGGATTAAATGAGCACTATATATTCTGTGCCTCTTTCAAATCAGATACACAAGCAGAATACAAAGGTTTTAGTCTTAGAGGAACTCAGCATGTGTGAGCTTGAGGCTGATCTGGTTAGGATAGCATATGTGGACTTTCAAAAAGCTTTTGAGAAACTCCCTCACCAGAGTCTGCAAAAGAGATTATGCTATCATGAGAAAGGAAAAGGTAGTCCCAGTAATTAATAACTGATTAAAGGACAGGAGTAAACGATCAAGCGAGAGATTCCAGCCATGCAGTGTGTAAATTAGCATTCTGCAGCAATGCGTCCCACAGGTTGTGGAATCAAAAAATATGAAGGTTTTCAAAGATTGATTAGACCCCTGCTAGTGGCTGGATGTTAAGGGAAATTCTGTGGACACAGCTGACAGCCAAGGAATCTTCTCTTAAGCGTCTGGTGCTGGCTGCTGTTAGAGGATACTGGGCTGGATGGTACTTCAGGCTGACGTGTTGTAACCCTGTTGATGGGGTTCTTTGGAGGCAGTACGTGTGTAGGATAACACACATCTCCTCCAGGCTTTGAAACACCCAAAGTTGGTGTAATTTTATTACCATACCAGGCACTGTTGCTGTTCCTGTTGAAATAAAGGTGTGGGAGCAACAGAAAATTAATAGTAATCTAGTGTGAAAAGAAATGCATAGTTTGGTCTTTAACTGTGAGAGGAAAAAATACTTTTAATATGCCACATTGTCAAAACTTTTGAGGCGCTTTCTTTCTTGTGGTACCAATCATGAAATCTGTGATCGTGCCCGGTGATTTCTTTCAGTGTGAATGGCTGCTGGGAGACAGAAAGCCTTCTCCAGAGGACTTAGATAAGGGCATCGACACCAACAGCCCTCTCTTCCAAGCCATCTTAGAAAACCCAGTGGTACAGTTAGGGCTAACCAACCCTAAAACTCTACTAGGTAAGTCCTGCTTGGGTTCCTTGAACTTGGGGCTGCTCCAGAAATTATACAAATTCCCTACTGGGTTACACTTGCTGAACTCAGAACTTCAATAGCTGCTGGCTGCAAGGCTTTTGTGGATTTAGGAGACCTTTTGTGTGCTCCCTTTGGCCATGAGAGGAAAAATCAGGAATGTCTGTCTAGAATTCTGAGATTTCACAGAAAAAACAAGGCTGTCTCCTGTGTACAGCTTACTGTGTGTTGGGGCCTGACCACTCAGATGGAAGGTAACTTGTGGAAGAGGAACCAAACAAGGAGTCTGAGCTGAGGCCTTGCCTATCAAAGTTGAGATAAAGTATGTGAAAATACACTTCCCCCTGCTTGGGTTTCAGCTCTGTGGCAAAGTCTGTGCGCTTGTGGTCAGAAAGGCTGGGAGCACAGCAAGTACCCAGCCGATGAGCCTGACAGTGAAGCATCAATCTGTGATGAACTGGTGTCTCTGATGCTGGAGGACAATACAGAAAAATTATATTGGCTCTGTGTGTATTTTTAAAGTTTTATATTTAGTCTTTGGCTTGAAAATTTATTTGAAGCAATGCTTTTAACTAGTGTATGCGCAACTCTTTCAAGAGAGCTTTTAAAAATACTACTTTCAATGTGATTAGGAGAGTTTGCAAGCCTTTAAATAATTCAAGTGCAGAACCTTCCCACTCTGATTTCTGAACAAATGGTCTCTTCATTTCCAACAAGGGTTCCACACTGCAGCTCAGAATATAAATAGCAAATGAAATGCCATTGTAAAGCTTGGATGAACATCAGAGAACATATTCTGAATGATACATCTGCGAATTTCTTATGTCACAGATTTTAATAATGAATGTTTGCGTTTAATTAGATAATTACAGAATGTTGATAAATAGTTTTAAGCTTTTGAGTCTGGGTAAAAGAATGTCATTAAAGTGGCCAAAGGTGAGATCTGTACTTTATTCTGGGCTTTCCTGAAGGCGTGCTGCGTGACCTTGAGCAAGGTATTAATGATGAGCCTTTCAGAGGTGCTGGGTACTTACAGCTCCCACTAATGTCAGTTGAAGCATTGTACACTAACGCGCCTGGGAAAATAAAGACACTGACCTTCGTGCCGGTCTGCCAGACTCTTACAACACTGACATTTCAGTGACTTCTGAATAGGTCAGATGTGCAACTGCTTTTTTTGTCCTGTTCCATAATGACTGCTCCAAATGTCCAGTAGTGCAGCTCAGTGTCTGTCATAAGGCTTATAAATTATTGCCTGGACCATTCTCCTGCCAGATTTGCAGTTTAGCTCTTGCAGTAGCTGGCTGGTTCCTTCAACATAAGTAGAAGAGTGAAAATTTGCACACTTTAAAAAAAAAAAAAACAAAAAACCAAAGCTTGTTGTGAAGACAGCTGTATATGGAAAGAAAAAAACCTGCTTTTAAATATTTGGATTGCTGTCAGAGTTTAGAAGTGGAGGTAACTGTTCTGCACAGAGATCCTTTCCCTGTCTGCCTATGTCTGGGTGGGTGAACGTGGCTGCCTCCCCCCATCCTCTACTCTCCAGACAGCAGGAAGGAGAAAGCACGTGGAGCTCAGAGGAAAGGTGCTGCTTCCCTTCTGGTTCCAGGGGCCTCTATGAAAAGATAGAGCTCTGAGATTTGGGGGTTTAAGGGGCTACGCTTTTGCTGGCTCTGCTGCTCATTCCTGCATAGCCTTTGCCATACCTGCTTCTTATTTTGCTGCCTTGGTTTTCTCTTCAGAGTTGTTATAAATGAGAGTGGCTGTAGGATGGCCAAAGTGCAGCACAGGAGAGCAAAGGTAACAGAGGCAAGGGGGTGATGGGGCTTTCTGTGAACTGTCCTGGTTAAGTGTCAGGGTGAAAAAGATCCTGGTGCAGGAACTAGCCATTACGAAACCTAGGCTGGGATGTGAAAAATCTTTGGGCAGAAGAGTGGAGTTGCAGAAGAGTCTTCCCGCAGGAGTACTGGCAGCCAGTGAGCCCGTTCGAAGGTGGGCTTTCACAAATGGCTGAATTGCAGAGCACGTGCCCTGCCCTGCAGGTAGACATTTGCTAAGGCTTTAGCTCTTCCAGCCCATGTCCTTGAGGTTTTGTAATCCAGGCTGAGTATTTAATCAGCCTCTGTCTGCAGTGAATATAACGCCGAGGAGTGGAGAAAGCATGACAGCCTGTAGCATCCCAGGCTGGAGAGATTTAGGAGTGCAGATGGTAAACGTGTGATGTGTGTTCGTTCCCACCATTTTTGGGTGATGCTTGCCCACTGCCTTTGAGTTGTAGCTATTTCTAGCTGTCCCGTTGTTGAATCATCCCAAACATGGAAGCCTTTGCTGACGAAAGGACTAATTGAGTGTTGCAATTTCCATTTCTTGGCAGCCTTCGAGGATATGCTTGAAAACCCCTTGAACAGCACTCAGTGGATGAACGATCCAGAAACGGGGCCTGTCATGCTACAGATCTCTCGAATCTTCCAGACGCTAGTAGAGGGGAACGCCAGTCCGCTGTGCCACTTCCTACTGTCCCTCGCTTGACCCCCTCCTCCGCGGGGGGATGCATGGATTGTTTGGGGAGGGGGGCGGATGGAAGAGGAGGGGGAAGGTCCTCTCTGAAGGGGTCTCTCGTAGGAGAGCTCACGTAGTTATGGCCAACTGAAGTTAATTGCCTTGTGGATTTAGTGTTAGTGGAAGAGGTTTGAAGACTTGTTTATGTTTTCAGGTATTAGGTTTAAAATAAAGTATATCAAAAAATAGGAAAAGGTTTTGTGAAAACAATTAAGAATCTGACTGTTGGAAAGAAATATGATATCACTTGTTAAAAAGGCCTGTGACAGTAGTTTTCTAGCCAGTTTTGCTAGCATCTGGCTAGTGTTTACAAAAGGTCACTGACCACTAGCATAGGATATTAATCATCTCCATACAGTATTAATTTATGGCTATATCAAATTATAAAATGCTTTAAAAAATTGATTATTAGGAAATGTTTTTAAAAAGTTCAAATACTGGGAGAGCAAGCACATTTCTATCCAGACTTGTTTATCTTGCATTATAATTTAAACAGAGTAATTCAGAGGTGGAATTCTTTTAATAAATAGCATTACTTTTTCCTATTTATTTTCTGCGTTAGTGTTGTTGCAGTCCCACAGCGGTTATACTTGTAGGAGACACTCTGTCAGCTACGTACAGATGCAGTATCTGTTTGACAGAGCTCACCACACCGAGACCTGGATTCTCAAGTAGGCCCCAGTTCATAAGTTCATATCCTAGTGCAAGGAGGATTATATATTCACTTAGTGGTGGTTTTTTTTATTCTATTTTTATGTGCACGGTTTTGGAAAGGGAGATTTGTGGGTTTTGACTTTGTTTCAAACTGTTTACAAAAAAGCAACTAATTTGCATGGGTTTTTCATTGGTGATCTGTAAAGAAGCAGAACCGCTTAGGTTTTTTTCTTGTTTAATGTATTTAAAAGCACGCTTGAAATTACCTTCTTTGAGATAGAAGTGGTTTTTCTTGACACTTATTTTTACCTTGAAAATACCAAGAATGTCAGGCTGTGTCTTTCCTATTTTGTCAGAAGATTGACTTGAGGTTTCAGGTAGGAGTTGGGAGCTTTTAAGAACAGAACGCGCTGTGAATATCCAGATAGTCTTGGCTTGGGCTCTGCAGGTGTTCCTTTTTTAACAGTCCAAACAAAAATGGTTTTTATTTTCAGGTTAGGGAGACATGATTGATACCTGTCATGATCCCTGCTGTGTCTTGCCTTTCGCAGCTCTCTTTTGGAAAGACAGGCTAAGCAATGCCTCTCCAGAACGCAGAGGAACCACACAGAGACCCTGTCCTTAAACAGCACGAAGGTGTCCTGTCAAACAGAGATCCTGAATCGCTCTGCAAGTCACCTTTTTGAGTCTTGGGTTTTTTAAACAAAAATGCAACGAGATGCAACCCAAAACCCTACAACAAGTTTTGGCCTGAACTTGGCATCTGCTCTGTGCTGTTGTGCAGTCAAGGCACTGAAGTTGCCAATTTCACATAATTAATATGAAGGGTGGGGAAGTCGAAACAGCATGAGATTTTATCTTGACTTACTATCCCAGGATTTTTTTTTGTTATTTGTAAGTTCATATTAAGCTTTACAGTTCATGACTGATGAAATATTTATTTCTACATTTAGAAATTCCAAGCTTTATAGAAATGCATCTTCTGTTCAAATTGGACATTAAAACCATTTTCCTAGACTCTTGCCAAGGACAGGTTGACAGCATGACATTAAATTCTGACCTTGTCCTATAGCTGTAAAAGCTAGGGACCTGATCCTGCGACCCCGGGAGTTCAGCACAACCACTCACAAATAGTTGTGACTGGATGTTGTGGATGGTTTTGATTATTTTGCCTGTTTTTTTTTTTTTTTCTTACTCCCTGAGGCTTTTTGCCTGTCATACTACCAGGAGACACTATTACTTGAAGCTCTTAATGTTAGAGGCACGCGTCCTTCTCTGCCAATCAGCATTCCTGTAAATACTCCTTTTAATGAGTATTTTTAGAAGACAAAGCTGGAAAAACTACCCTGTAGTTCAGTGGGGGTTTTTTTGGCTTCTGAATGAGAAGGTACAGGTTCAGATTTACCAAACAGATACTTCAGTCTTGGTCTTTGAAAGAATGTGAAGGCTTGTTGACATGCTTCTTGTGATTTCAGTAATACATGATCAGACTCTGGAGTGGCCGTAGAGCTTCAGACAGACCAGGCAAGGATCATCCGTCAACTTTAAGAGTCATCTAGAAGTTTGACGTCTGGCTTGCTGACAGAGCCCAGGGAACTAGCCATGTGGCAAGAGTGAGCATCTTTGTACCAAGACAGGACTGTCTGTTGGTGCTGCCAGGGCCTTGTGGATGATGAACTTTTAGGGGGTTGAAGCTGGGGCATTTCTGCTGTGCGGTGTCTGACCCGCTGAGTGGAGTGGCTCGCTTCAAAGGGTAAAGGTTCTGCTGCTCCTGTATCTCTGCATCAACCCCACAGCAACAGGATCAGAGCGTGATCCTGCCCAGACCTGCTAGTGAACTGTGCACGTTCTTCAGTGTCAGGCTGATCAGGGTGATAGAAGTTATCAGAGCTGCCTCGCTCGGTATATGTTCTTCAGTGTCAGGCTGATCGAAGTTATCAGAGCTGCCTCGCTCGGTATGCCAGAACACAGTCAGTGCCGCTGAATCTTGTATAAAGTGAGGGGGAAAGCATCGTTAAAAGCATCATGCTTGTGTAATAGAAGAGGGTAGGAATGCCCAGGTTCAGCAACATAACCTGATGTTGCAGCAGCATTTCGAGACCTTTGGGATAAAGGAATACTGCATCTTTAAAGTGCTTGTGGGCTTGAGAATATGTGGTTATTTCTGGATTTTGTTATTCCAGAGCTCAGCACTTACACAGCTGAAATGTTGGAGGGTGTGTTCTTCCTGGTCTGTCAGTCTTCTTGTTCGATACAGCTTTAACACAGCCCTGCTTGTCTTTCGAGAGCTTAGGTTTCCAGTGGGCAATGGCTGAAAGAGGCCAGAACTTAGGAGGTGTGATGTTTGCAGCAAGGCGTAGGAGTTGATTTAAAACAATCAAAAACTACTGTTGGCGTTGAACACTGAGGAATTGATCAAAACATGGGTGGTGGTGGTAGGGTATGAATTGGTAGCAAGTGGGGAGCTGTGTCCCCATCTCACCTGGGTGTGTTGTGACTTCATCACAGTAAACGGAGCGGGGGGTTCAGTCCTCTGGGCTTGCAGAGGCATTGGTTATCCCGGTTTTTAGAAAACCTGCAGAAAAGTGAAAGATCGCTGCTCGTGAGTCAGAATGTGCAGACGGGTCTCCAGGCGCAAGGAGCGTGTGTGGTAGGAGCCTTACTGGAGATATCCTGTCCTGTTCCAGGGCTGAAGGGCAGAGCACTGGTGGGTCTGGTCTGTAGGCCAGTGAGAGGTCCCTGAGCACATGGGAGTAGGTTTTTTATAAAGAGGGAAAAAAAAAAAGTTTTTATGAGGAAGAACTACTCACAGGAGTAAGGAATTACAGGTTCAGGTCCTGTGCTTGCATCTCTGGTGTTCAGATCATAACTAGCGAAGACATCATATCATATTTAAGAGAATATTTGGAAGCTTGGGAAGTCAAGAAGTAAGGAAATGGGGTGGTAGGTGGCTGATACGACGTCTGTTTCTTACAGTTCTAGCTCTTTGCCCCATCAGTTGATAGAGACAATCTTCTGCCTTTTGATATTACATGACTCTTGAAAGCTAGCGTAGCTATTTATTTAAATATATGTAACTTATCATTTTGTCATCAAAACACTGATATTTTTAATACAACTGTACTATAGAGAAGTTTCTTCTCAGGGCTTCGTATTTATACTCTCTTTGTAGGGGGATGTATTTAAAGGGATGTATTTGAAAAATAAAAAAAAATGCCAGTGGCCACTTTACAGCGTGGACCATGATTGTCTTGACCTGTGAGACTGAGCTAGTGTCACTCTCCTGTAGTGTCTGGTCCAGCCCAAAGATCCTGCCGTTCCTTCTCTCCTTGTGAGCAGCGACGTGAGTCTTCCTTTGAGATTGCTGCATCGCTCTCTGGAAACGGTCACACAAGATTACCCGGCTGCTTCACAGTTCACTGATCTTTATACCGTCTCAAGGACGCTTCTGTTCTCCATGCAGCTGGAAAATTAACTTGCATGGTTTCTGAAGCAGTCATCAGCGCGCTTCTGCTCTTCTGGGAGGGTGCAAGGCTCACTCCCGCTGGAGCCTCCAGCTAATTGCTGCTTTTTGGCTGCTCGCAGCCTCTGTCACAGATGTGTCCCAGAACCCTGACCCCCATTTCTTTCCTCACTCTCCTGGAACCAAACTTGTCTTTTGGAGATGGATATTCATATCTGAGAAACGCTTCAGTGGTTATTTAAATCCTTCTTAGTTGGGACTTTTTCTTTTAGGCATTGTGATTCATGGGCTGAGGATCTTTTAATGTATTTTGAAAGTTGTTTAAATAAGCATTGCACCAAACGAATGTATAGTAACACTGTCAGCAAATATCGCCTGTGGGAGAGAGGCAGAGGTTACCAGGGATCTCTACTTCAGTGGCAGTTTTACAGAAGAAGTGTGCACAGGACAGTGAGTGTCTCATCCAAAGTAAATGCTCCATTTTTCTACTTTTAATAAATAACATTTTTATTAATTAGCTGAATAGTGGCACTTGCAGCTGGGTATTTCCATCCGATCAGAAGTCCTTGTGCTTTGAGGCATAAGCAAACCACTGACCGCATCCTCCTCTCTGGGCCGATTATCGGTCTGAAGGATTTGTGTTGGCTGCTGGCAGAGGCAGGACAGTGGTGAGCTCGGCTGGGGCGGCAATCCCCACATCCCGCAGAGGAAACGGCGAGCAGCGTGTGTTACGTCCACGTGAATGTGCTCTCACGGTGGTGGTTCTCACCTGCATCCTGACATCTAGGTGTACAGAAAGGGGTGGTTTTGAGGACCTCTTGCCCTAGATTTGCAGATCTTGAATGCAGATCCTGTTTGCAGCATGTGAACTCCAAAAAATGTAAATATCCAAATTCAGGCAGAATTTCATGCACAGTTTTGTATCATGCTCTGGGGAGAGGGAGGAAATCGGATCACGTTCTAAACTAAGCCCCACAAAACAAAGTATCCTTGTTGCAGCAGGTAATAGAGGCCTGTAGAGATTTTTAATTTGCCTTTTTTTTATCATAGTTTAATGAACTGTACAAGAATGATTTGCTATCCAGCACTTACCACAAGGCAGCACCAGTGAAATTAGATCACAAGGTACCGACTTAACAGTTTTCATTTCACCTGTGTATAAGATAATTAGGTAAGCATAGGATGATTTTTATATGGCACTGACACTGATGTGTGGCATGCACAGCTGTTTCTAAGATGTACCATTACTTTTATGAAGCTCAACTCGGGCAGATGTCCCTGAGCTGGTGGAATTCGGGTTCATTCTGGACATGCTCGCATGAGTCGCGGACCTCTCCGTGGGAAACCAGCAGGCTTTGCTCCCATGCAGCAGCCTCTTAGGCAAAAAGTAAGAAATACTACTGACATGTTATCCTTTTAAACAGTC